CAATGGCTTATAACAACAATTTGGATATACTTCATTAATAATATTTTGAACCAGAGACTGGAATCATAATGAAGTATTAATTTGATTTGGGGTTACTATAATTTAAGAAAAATTGATTAAATTGTATTTTTTTAATCAAAATTGAAAAAGTTACCTTGGTTCATTTTAATCGTGAGAAATCCTCAAAAATTTATAATTTTTAAAATAGATAAATTTTGAAATTTTTAAACTTTTTTTTTTAAAACTACCATAACTTTTTGAAAAATTGACAAATCAAAATATTTTTTTTTATATAGTCATTTTAAATATTTTCTCTCATTTGATATAAATATTTTTAAAAAAATAGGTATTTTTTGTATAATAAATATCATACTAAATTTCATTCTATCGTATGTAATTTTTTATAAACTAAAAAATTTTAAATTGTAATAATAAATTATTGATTATCCATTTCATACTAAGTATAATAACTTTAATTACTATTTATTCATACAATATATATATAAATTAAAGAATTACTAACCAGGGTGTCATTAAGAAAATAGAAGTTGACGTTGTTTTTGGAATAATTCAACAATTCCTCTTAAAAATTAAAACTATCTACTGATTTGCATCGAAGCATTTTTTACTATAGTTATTTTAATCACTGTCTCAATTAGGCCACGTCCTCACTATGTTGGGTTTTTTAGCAGTGATATTATAAAATATTAAAATATAATCATATATAAAAAGAATCATAGAAAGGAAGCAAAGTCCCAAAATATTTCTGCAGCATTCTGGAAAAAAAAAATCCACATAGGGAATACGTGGCATAATTGAAATAAGTATAATTCATATCTGACAGTGATTAACATGACTTTTAAAAAAACGCCTCTCCCGGACGATTTGAGCAGTGGTCGCACGTCGTCGCGACTGCTTTACGATACGGTTAAAATACTCGTTATAGCAGCCGTGGCCAGACATCAATACTCAAGAGTATCCGCCCAAACCGGGGACCCGTACAGGAGAACCGAGTATATGACTCTGACTAAACGTATGCACCGCATCTCCCTCGGCCCTCCCAGATTGAACATGAGTTCCACCAAGCAATTTATGACTTTCTGGGCCCGCTGGGCCGCACGAGTAATGTGCGGTCCGAACTTTAGACGTTTGTCTATGACAAGGCCCAGATAAGTCATGGAGTCCTTAAGCGGGATCTCTACCCCTAGCACGACGAGCCGTGGAGGAGTGAACTTGTACCTTCCCGTGAACAAGACCGCTTCGCTCTTGTCCAGGGTGAGGCTCATTCCACTCCCCTCCTGCTGGATCCAGGAGGTGACTACGCTGAGCGCGGAGTTTGCACGAGATCCTCGGACGAGGCACCCTCCGTCACCATCAGCGTGTCATTCGCGTAGCAGTTGACGCACACGTACGGTGGTAGTGGAACGTGGAACACCGCGTCATAAGCGATGTTCCACCGCAAAGACCCGAGAATCTATTCTTGTGGGATGCCGCCCGTAACGGGTCTGAATCTCGGGACAGCGGCTCTCTCGTAGGAGATGACCTAATCGCTAATGTATGAACGGATCATTCGTCCGAGGTACGAAGGCACCCGAAACGCGTCCAGCGCTCCGAGGATGTGTGACCATCGCATGGTTTTGAACGCGTTTCGGATGTCCAGGCTTACCGCCACTCCGAAGCCCTGCTCGGTTTTGGCCTTGAGGGCCAAGTCCCTGAAGAGAGAGGCCTCGTCGTCCGTAAACCTCCCCCTTCTAAAACTGAACTGCCCTCGGTCAGTCTGCTGATGTCAGCCAGGTGGGCCTCGATATAGGTGACCAGTAGCCGCTCAAAAATCTTCCACAGGTCGTCCAACATGCAAAGCGGTCGGTAAGACGAGGGGAGACCCTCGGGCTTGTCACCCTTTTTCAGAATAACCAACCTGGCCTTCTTCCACTTCATGGGGAATTCACCCTACAGGAGGCACCGGTTCGCGACGGCGCGAATCTAATGCAGGGCGAGGTCGTTTACCAACCCCCACACCTGCTTGGATTTGCGTTGTGGCCGGGAGCAGTGTTCCGACTCCGCGTCGGTCACCTCCTGGGTAGTGAATTCCTCCACCGACACGTCATCCCCGAACGCCGGGGGAGTCAGGGACCGATGTGTCGGAAAGAGCGTATCTACCGATCTTTACAACAAGTCCGCCTCCAATTGACCCGAATCCGGTGAATTGCGGAACTCGTAAGCGTTTCCTCAATGGGTCATATACATATTTATTAGTTTTTAATTTTAAACCAGCCTAATATAACCTTTCAAAAACCAACTCTAGTCTTTGTAATGATCCTCAATAGACTTTCCAAAAGTACAAATATCGTCCAGGTATTATATCATAGACATATACAATAAATCACTAAATAAATTATTTATTACAAGTTAAAATATGAAGAACTATTTTTCCGACCTAGCATTAATACTATTAATTGAAAAATATCAAAGTTAGTTGTAAAATCATTTTTTTCTTTATCATAAAGAATACAATAAATACAAATCTGATATTATTTATTAACATAAATAGTTTTTGTATATGTGCAATACTGTTATAAAAAAGTTTGTTGACTTTCATAATTTTAATTTTTGCTTAAAATGAGAAAAAATGTTCACCGTAATTTATCAATTGCATAATTTTATTTGCCCCCTCCATTATGTTTCTATATAAGTAACTGGTTTCAAGCTAAGAAAATTTTGTTTTTGTTTATTATTAAAATAACAGATATATATGTTTAGTGATGATAATTGTAACATTGTTCCAGAAATATGTATCCTCGATTTTTTATAGATTTTTGTGGCTTTTTGTATTAAATATTTTAAATATTTTTAGTTTTAAATTAATACTTTCAATACAATTTTAAAAAATATTAGCCATAAGCGATTAATTTTTATTAATAATAGGATTTAAAGTTATAACTTTCATCATAAGAAACGTTTCGTTGCAAATCTGTAGGTAGTGTTTCATTTAGAGAAATTGGTGGATTATTCCAAAAGCAACATCAACTCTTATTTCTTTGATTATATCCTAATTAGTAGTTCTTTGATTTTAAAATATAATATATGAATTATAATTATTAAATTTAGTATGAAAATAAAAAAGTAAAAAAAATTTAATAAGTTTAATTTCTTATGTCTTGTGACCTTTATTCTATGTCAATTAAATTATATAATATTCATGAAAGTCATTATATTCTCCTAATAAGATATTTTAAAATAAAATACAAAACCTAGAATTTTAATAGAAAAATAGCATATTTTTGAATACGGTAGCCATTTGTGCCATTAGTAGATAGGTTGTCGGAACAAATTTTTTTTTTATAGTACATAAAATAAGCTTTAATTTGTTATATGTTTAAAGGAAGCAGTATTTCTGGAACATTTTCAAAAATTAAGTTGAAAAAGTTAATTTCTGTAAAAAAGTTGTTATTTTAAATCCCCCCCCATAAGCAGGTTAAGTGTTAGTTTTTTAAAAAAATGATATCAAATGAAAGGGAAATATCTAAGGTTTTAGTATAAAAAAAAATTATGTTGATTTGTTTATTTTTGAAAAAGTTATGGAAGTTTTANAAAAAAAAATATGTTGATTTGTTGATTTTTCAAAAAGTTATGGAAGTTTTAAGAAAAAAAAGTGAAAAAATTTCGAAAATTAGCGATTTTTAAATTTGTAATTTTTTTGGATATTTCCCCCATTTGCGGGGAACGAGGGAATTTTTTTCAAGTTTTAAAGGTAATGTTTTCAACTAGATACGACTTGTGATCTTTTGACGTATTTTTGAAAGAAATCGGTCCAGTGAGAGCTGAGAAAAAGTGGCAACAGACATAAAAAAAAAAAA